TGAAGTTTCCATCGAATCATACCTCATCGCTTCAGAATGTACTACGGTACGGATCGTTCGCAGCTTGTCAATGCAAAATGCCACCTAGGATTAGAATTGTCTGTCTTTTTTCTTGTATTATACTTTTTTTACTCGTGGTGTGAGTGGAAGCACTCCTGATCTTTAGCGTCTAGAGCATAACTTCCGGTAGCATATACTCGCTGACGGATACCACTAATCCGAGTCTTGACACGGATTTACCCAGCAAATTTTCACTGTGTTTCCGGTGTCCTGGTTTTTTCTTCCATTCAGTTTCTCTTGAATTGATTGTATTCCTGTATATTATCAGTCCTTTCAAGGTTTCAAGAAATTTATCGAATAAATAAAAATTTGTAGAATGATGGTTAATAAAGATAAAATATCTGATTAGAAATTGTGAACAGAGTATAATAGTATAAAATGAACATAATATAAAAAGTTCATTAACTCTTAAAAACGCATATTAGAAAAGATGTTCTGTATGCTGTAAATAACAATAGTAGTACATACTTCTCGTTTAAAGAATTCTTTATAAATGTCTTTCTGTTACTGTAGTAGAAGATTGCTTTCGAAATAAGATTTTTTCCAATTTATAAAATAAAGGCACCTTGAAAGGACATATTAGTATCACTCAAAGTGAAAAGTATAAAACTGTCTACATCTTAGATACATTAATTGTACAATGTAGCTTTAATCGGAAGAAAACTTGCCAGTGGAACACAGGCCTGCAAGAATGATGCGATGCCTCTTCCTCCCTCGAACAAGCTAATACTATCGAATCCTCAGTAATACTTCTCAGCAATACTTGACCGTTCGTCTAACAACACTAACTGATGTAGTTAGTACGCGCCCCTTTAAACTTGTTGCCACTATACACAGGGTGTTTCAATGAGCTACGGTCAAAACCAGAGACAGTTTTCCTCGGTCGAAAATTGTAAGTACGAAACTGTTTCTATGGCGATAAAACCAAAAGAGAAATATATCTATATGACTCGAACTGTTTGAATATTATTGTTGCAACTTGTACAGACTTTGGTTCTTCCGTTCTAGAGTCGATTGTCTCGTGTATACTTTGTCGATAATGTTCTTTTTAGTGGTTATTTACAGTTCGGACGAGTTCGAATATCGTTTCGTCAAAAGATTTGTTCGACCACTAGTTCGTCCAGTAGCATTTTATTCCTTCTTTTTTTTCGGCCGGTTACAACCGACTCCCTTTTTAAGTAGTTAGCGTTTTTGTGGGACCTCGAGTATAGATAACGTGTTCTTTCTTTTTTTTTGCCCTTTTTTCTAGAAGTTTTCTTAGGAATTAGATTCCGTTACGAACGTCCTTACTTATTTTCCACCGAAGAAACCCCTTTTCTGTTTTCACCGTAGTCAATACTCTTCTGTTGTATCGGAAAATATTACCTAATAACTAACTGCTATACGCTTTATTATTCAGTAGCTTTTATCAGCGCTTCACACGAGCTCGCTGCGTGCAGCACAGTCCTGCTTACAAGGAAGGTTTCCTTTGGAACAGCTCCTTTAATGCGTCCCGACCCACCTTTTGAAGTAATTGGAGCGAAGGAGACTTTATTCGTTTACACAACATTATTCAATTAATTTTCTCTTACACATAGTTACCTCATGCGTATCGTTGGAACAGGCTCAAAGAAACTATAAAACATACTTTAAATTTAATTATCCGTTTTTAAACAGTAATTTAGTTATGTTTAAATCGGTTTGTACATTCTACATTTTACAATGCAACTGTGATACATTTGTACGCCCTTCGTCTCTTTAATTACTTTCAAAAGTATGATTTCCATTAATAGGAGCGTCCAGAGGATCGAAGTCTTTCTTGTAAGGAAAACGTTGAATATGCCTCAGTAATCATAATGATTCTCGATGAAGATTTATCGAACGCGGACTCTTAAGCGCTGCTATTAGTGCATAGTACTGAAATTCTCCACGGTGAAGTGAATTTTCAGGCGGGAACAAGAGAGAATTAGAATCATTCTGAAAAGGAAATTAAACGAAAACGTACACAGCATGTGATCAATTTGTATTAAAGAAAATTACCGTTTGAAACGTTGACGACGGATCGACGCATATACGCGCGGAATTCGTTGAACCCGCGGCGAAACGATAACGCGCGAAGTGTAAGAGAAGCGGTTGCATAGTTGGCTGATTGAGTGAAAATGCGTATTATATATTATGTATCGTCAAATGTATAGCGATGTTGTTACTTTTTTTATATGTGTCTAGTATTACCCCTTGTTTTGGGCATGATGTAAAATTGAGAGATATACAATTGGTACTTGTATCTATGTGAACCGCTAAAATAGTAAGAAACGCATCCAGCCACGCAGGGGCATGCATTTTGATCGGTTTATCGTTTGTTACGCAGAATCTGACTTTTTGCAACACAGTGAGCCATCCTTCATGGAAACGACAACGACAGAAGTGGACCCTGAAACACAGGAAAGGTAACGCGAGAACAGTGTTCCCAGGAAACCAAATTACAACCTGCAACCTTGATCTAACCAAAGTGAATGGAATTTACCATACCGAATAAAATTGCAAATCGTTAATTGAAAAGGTTTAATCATTTAAAAAGAAATTAAAAGAATGGCATACAAGTTTGGTTTTCGTGGAAAATGTATTTCAAGATTCAAATGTTTTACCATTGTCCATCATTTTTACTTGCGACTACCATCTGGAATTCTATAATATTATTTAGTTCCTATAATTTAGATTACATTGCAAGCATTTACTCCTAATACATCAAATTACGCCGTAATGTGTAAACTCGTGAAACTTTGGTTAAAAGTGACGCGCAACGACGAACGTGCTCGTTATCGAAAACTGCAAAGGCATACATAGAATCCTTTTCCTTTTACAGAATAACGAGAACTGTTACTCAAGTAATTACAACGACCAGCGGTACCATAAGTGACACGGACGAACTGCGAGACTCCATGCAGAAGATCGTCAGTAGATTCATGATGGAGGAGAGTGATGACTAGTGAAGCGGCGAAGATCTTGCGACCGGTCACGAGAACGAAGTAAACGAATCCTTCGGATAAAGGGAGACGAAGAAACGTTCAAAAGAAATTCTGTAGCGTTAATTGCGAGGATCGTGCTCGACCACGACGCGTCCTCGAGCGTCGTTGCCGAGTGTCCTTCCTCTGTACAAAGATCGGCAAGAAAGCACGATGATCTCTGTCCGCGAAAACGATCTGTATCTAGGGACGCCTATGCGACGTTTATCTTATTCCCGCGGTGCTTCTCGCCGGCACAGGAACAAAGAAAAAAGGAAAAAAAGAACGCATGCACGACAATTTTACTATCACACTCATGGCCTACGCTTCGAATTTGCTTGTCTTTTCGGTTACGATTCAGTTGCCTTAACGCGTTTACGTTCGAAACTTGCGATCGACTTAGCGCACGATCATTGCTAGCTATGGCTAGCGTTGGTCCGCTAATCTTCGCCAAAGTTAACCCGTCCATGTACAACGCCTTTCTCGTGTTGTTCAAAGCAATAGAGAGGGAGAAAGAGAGAGATTGACGAGAGAATATGGGGTAACGAAACAGCAAGCACTCGCAGGAAAACAGCGCGGACGACGCGAACGGGGAACACGTTCGTCTTTCGAGGGGCAGGGCTCGACCGAACGAGCCACGGCCGGTGTTATAGATTTATAAACGGAGATGGTGTACCGTGAAGCTAAACCGGTGAAACAGATCTTGCGGTGACTTCGCTAAACTCGCCGTACTCGGCAGTTCATTTTAGCTTTAGGATGATTGTATATCTATCCGCGCGCAATACATCGCTTCATAGGTCTGCAACCACCACTTGAGTCACATACAGACACACATATTACACACGTACACGTACGCTGAAAATAAGAGAGATTCTAAAAAGAAATTGGGATTCCCGTGATCATCCGAGCGGAACGAAAGGAAAAAAAAGATAAAGTGATTTCGCGCGCGACACGCGCGTCACTCGAATGGCCACTGGGAACAAAACGTTTTTATGAGTCGGAATACAATGTAAATTTAACTTATTTAAAAGAAAATGAACAACAACAACAATATTTCCTAACAATTTTTAATTGTATATATAATAATTTCTTAGCGTAACTTATATAAATGTACTATTATACGATTGTAATAATTGCAATATTATAACATGAATATTTTATTTATATAGCAGAATCATTGGGACAGATTGTTGGAGACGCGTAATTCTTATCGAATCGGGAGGGGCGAAACGTTGATCGGCGATCCGACCCTTCACGTGATCGTGTAAATTATATTGTGACCATTGTAAACGATTAATTGAAAACGAACAAGGAAATCGGTTTAACGACGCGACGACTGTAGGGAAGAATGTGTTATTCGAAACTTTAACGACTACGAGAGAATATGTTTTAATGTTTAAGCAGCATTAGCTTTCAATGTATAACACAGTTTTAAAAGGCACAGAAAGGAATCATATAGTATGTATTTAAAAAAATGAACAAATATACTTTAAATAAGGTATTCTATTAATGTATAATATATTGAAGAATGATATGATTATGCATCTGAAGTTTATAAATTATTATCTATAATGACTGTTATTCTATGTTTAATAGACTTGCCTAGAGCCTATCTGACCTAAGGACCAAAGGCACAATCACGCACGCATCAAAAATAAAACATTATGCTCCCATGTACTGTCGTAACATTTATTGTATCTCATTACGGACGTTGCGATACTGGCATTTAAATATTCCGACTGCTAACATACATAGTTTGTCTTACGAAACGAGAAACATATTTTCCCCTCTCGTGTAATTCGCAAGGCCACGTGTAATATGACGAAATATTGTAAAATCAAACGATTTTTTCATTCATCGTCATTTCTGTCCAGTATATTAGTACATTTTTTACGAGTCACAACTATCTTTACTATATCGCGTACAAGACATATACAATCGAACACTTGAAAGTCGACCAAGTAACATTACTGGCTGACTAGTTGTTAGTGTTCCGACGAATAAGAATATTTCAATTGACCGTTACCAATAGGGTGACAAAAATATATTATTGTATTCTTAAATAGAGAACTTATTTATGCTATTTATTAGAAGTATTATTATTTAAATGATTCTTATTTATACGATATTCGTGAAAATTTTGTATATATTCAAATTAATTATCTGCAAAGTAAAGAAACATTTGACTTGTATTTTTTTCTATGAAATATACATTATACACAACAAACGTTTGCTAGAAGCCAGTAACGTTACATCGAGTAAAATATACATTTTATAATTCTCTAAACAGCTACTGTATTTTTCAGTCTGACAGCATAACAACATTAAAACCAATTCAATTCTATGAAGGTAATATGTAATATGAATTAATTTATTTATTCGCTTGACGCTAATTTTCTACTAACAATATTTAGATAAAAATTCTTCATTAACTCCTACGATGAAGTGTATAAAATCATTGTAAAATTTAACTTGTACTACATTCACCTTTACTAATTTCATAAAAACAATGATCTATTACTAAAATTATTAAAAAAAAGGAGAATGTGTACTGAATTGGAGAAGTTCTATAATTGTCTCCGGTTATGTCTGACTTCGCCAACTGGTTTCTCCAGCTAGCTGTTGCTGTTGCAAAAAGATGTGTAATGTTTTAATGTCGTTTCATTCACATGCGTTCGAATTAAAAGGTATTTAACATTCAGTATCGCATCAGTACGCTTCTAGTTCTGAATGTAATTTTATACAATGTGTTGATCTGTTCTGTGAGTAACGCGTACACACCAAGCGGCTACCAATTTTCCTCTATGCTTGAAACCTTCGTAAATATCACAATGTTACGTTAAAAATTATAATGCCATTGTATGGCGTACGATATCAAAAATAACAGAGGAAAGAAAAAAAGTATGATTTTACCATATACTATTATGTGATAGAGTTATCAACGACAATGTAATAAATAAACTGTTGCATTACAATCCATGATATATACTTGTAACAAAGAAGAGAATGAAATGTGAAAAGATCTACACCTCATCCTTGATTTTTGTTTCCAAAATTTTGTTTTTTAACGAGTTTTAAATTTACAAAAATTAGTTGAAATTAGGTAACATGTCGGGTTTTTAAATAAGTAACGATTCAAGTATTTACTTTACAGATTTTTATTTATTGTTAACAGTTGACATTAATTTTCTTTAGTACACTTTTATGGAATCATTTTTTTATACAAAAATCAGTGGCAATCCATATGTTTCATCGAATATTTGAAATTCAATTCGTTTTAATTAAAAGAAACAGTTAAGATTAAAGATTCATTAAATGTGAATTTAATCCGAGAGGATAAATTTATGTTTAAAACAGATTCATCCTTTGCCAGAGGGATTACCATTTTATTTTTTATGAATATTTCTAAACGGAATTTTATTATACCCATGTCGATAGTTATATATTGCTTTTATACCCATAACTATATTTTGGTCTTAAAATTACAATCAGCTGACTATAAAATACAATTATAAAAACAACTTTTATGTTGTCACATTTATGTTATACAACGGATGATTTAATGAATTGCCTTAATAGATACAGAATTACTATGATGTATGGTGCTCACTACTTTCCCTGTTTAATATTACAGCAATAATAATTTGATATGAAACAAAGAAATGTACAAAAGGAAGTTAGTATGAGAATAATACTCTATGCTGTGAATATAATTATTATATGTGATCGAATTTTACGATCGAAATTATCATTATTAAAATTTCATATTAATTGGAAATGTGAATATAAATCTTATTTTAAAACACATTTTCGAGAAGAATGTTAATATAATGATATCTCTTAAAAATGAGATACTATTCGCGACTTCTAGTCATATAAAATTAAATGACAGGTTGTATAGTGAATACCATTGCTCTAATAAAATTTAAAATTCTAAAATTTGCCATCCAATCAGAATATATTATTCACACAACTGGAAATTTATTTATAGATACAGAAAATTAGCTATTTCTTCAAAAAAATTTTATATTTTAATTGCGTGACGAATGATAGCACTTTGTAAAACAAATAGGTGTTTCCATGTACTTGATATCAATACCTTTGAAGTATTATTATACTGAAGGTCATCAGATCTGTAAGTTGAATAAATTTGTTTACTGTGTAATTTGCATCAAAGGCATAAAGATAAACAATATAAGGGAGGACTTGTTGAAAATCTATGAAAACACATGAAATTAACAATATAAATACTCACATTATCAACGTCATCTTCATCATCGTCACTAATTTCATCACCGAACTCAATATCTTCATCGAAACCATCTTCGACGAAGGTGACAGTGTCATTGATACGTACTGTAAAAGAATACATTCAATATAGTACAAACTTCATATCAATATTTTCCTAACAAAATTATATCTAACTGAAATTAATGTGGAAGAAATTGTATATAATTATTTACCAGTTTCGGGGAATTCACCATACGTTTTCAAATTACGAGCTTCATCTGATGTATATTTCAATATAACATCAGCTTTTGCATTTTGATAGTCTCGCAGACCAATTAATATAATGTCACCCTGATTGATCCATACTTTTTTTCGTAATTTTCCACGAATGTGGCACAACCGTTTGACACCATCGAAGCACATTGCTTCTAGCCTTCCATTACCAAGCATCTTTGTAACTTGTGCATATTCTACAGAAGGTAATAAAAAGTATGAAATTGTCTATAGGTGTTCTTACATTCAAAATTTCATTACGAAATTTTACCTTGTCCGTCTTCCTTAAATACCAATTCTCTTTTCTCCGTTTCATTTTCATTCTTACCCCTTCTCCTATTTTTACCTCCCTTTCCTAACGAAAAATAAGCAAAACAATAATTATTCGACGAAGTTGTGCTTCCAAGTTTTTAACAAAGACGTCCAACATTCTACACCTCTATATTCGACTATTTCGGGAGCAAGGTTGACATTAACAGGTTAGGACAAACTAACCACATTGCACATTGAAAGGTACATGACTCTTTATGTAGATATTTACAGTTTTTAGACAGGCACAAAGACAAAGTACAGTACAATCGATTACGAACCCTTATTTTTCGGCATATTGATCTGCTAAATCACACTCGAGCAATAAATATCAAGAGAATTCAGATAACGTGAGACAATAATTTTAATGCTCTAAAAATGAGTTTTGCACCACTCCGCACCTCATGGAAAACCCATACACATAGTCCTTTGTGACATAGACTACTCAAGAATGTCAAGTAGGCAGAGTTCAAATGTCATTTCATATTTCACAATGAAATGAAACAATTTTGTTAAAAATTACTTCCACAATTTATACAATAATTTCTTAGTAAGGATGCATTTGAAGTTGTTAAAATTTAAATATGTAATTGATCATTCACGGATGATAGTGATAAATAATGTCTGTAACGGAACTGGGTGAATCAAGTGAACTTAGGAACATCAACCATTGTAACGCACAAGTCTCTTACGACTTTATATTCGATGGTTAATAATGAATGCCATTAAAAGTAGAAAAATGGCATAAATCATGATTAAATACTATTTTCAATCAGTGAGATTAATTTTGATATTGGTCACTAGCACTTTTGACATGAAAGGTTTTTAGCTGATAAGCAATAATGGGGCGCCATCTACGATATAACGCTGAAGCTGCTAAACAATTAAGCTTCGCTATTTTGTCGTAAGATGGAAAAACTATGTTATTCTCCTGATAGTACTTCCAGTAGATAACTTCTATACCTTTTATTTTTAAAAAGAGCATAAGCGTATGAAAACAATTTTTCTGAAAATTATTATGAAGATTTTAGAAATGAGCGAGACAGTAAAAGCACGGTTATGAGAATCGATTTTATTTAACAATTTCTAGAATCAAGATTTCAGTACAATTCTTGCAAAGTTACTGTTCAAGTTGAAATATGCATAAAAATGTAATAAAAATCATGGAAAATTCAAATTTCTAATAAGTCTTAATGTCTATAAGTTCAAAAGAAATTTTCGATATCAATAGAATTCGTTGTAAGGTATGTGCGACTCATATTTGCATGTATACAATTGCTAAATTGTGGAAAAAAAGAATTTTATACGATTGTCAAATTCAACTGTGTATATCTTCCTACTGATACTTGAATAACTATAAAGTATACTCTCAAAGGTTTTACTTGTAATGGAATTAAAGTATAACAGGAAATATAATAAATCTATTCACGATTTATAAATACAAAATAAATAAACATTATTAATGTCAGGATAATCAAATCATTTGTTTAAAAATCCAGTGTTAACGTTGTTTTAAATAAATTTCACTTATTTTACACTCTGCTGAACTAGATCACTTGCTGTCGGAGGTACGCCCGTAATGGATTCTCCATTGCGCAAGTTGTTTTGCTCTCGGTGGCATAAAATGGTAGCTTGTTGTAGTTTCCAGACGACCAAACATTGAATTCCATAGCGCAAGCACATTCCATGAGAAAACCGGGTGCTGCAATTTCAACTGTGATACAATACAATGCAGTGCGAATCACGCGAATAATAAGAGTAAGATCTGCGCATGAGATAATAATTAAATAAGAACAATCAATTTCCCCGTAATAGGATTTAAATTTAAATTTCAAATTTCCATTCCCAACTAATAACACACAATTTTATGTTGTACCTGAATGGTCGTCAAACTCCGTCTGTCATAAAAATTTTATATTGCTTGGGCAACCGTGGTTCATTCTGTATTCCACGTAAAGCATTCCAGTGTTGTGCCAATAATAAAGAGCCAGCACTACCAGTGCGTGCCACCATTGATGAGAGGAACCGACATAATCTACCCACCCTTGAAGATTATGAAATTTTAAGCATACTTCACTCATAAAATAATGTAAACATATTTCATTTGTACAGAAGCAAGGTCGAAACCATTGTTCGTGAAATAATGCAGAGTAAAGGCAATTAATTTTACTTTTGTTTAAGCTACGGTCTGCACTATTGTTCTTGCACGCAAACAAAAGTTTTAAATAAATTAATTCCTGTGTTGGAAGACAGTTTGTTTCACATTTATGTAAATAGTAATAACTATGATGGCTGAATAATTACCTGGACAAAACCGTTCTGGTATTTTGGTTAAATAAATAATAAATGCGCCACCACTAATGACATACATTCCTAGTACCCTTGGAAGCAACATTCTAACGATCGGGTTGTCCATGCCGCCCATTGCGATGCTCCAATGCAGCGTTGGCAGGACTCCATAAGCCGCCCAAGCGACAAATACGACTAGCTTGACGTTCCCGTTAACGTTCAGTTTTGGTATTTGAAGGATCATCGCGAAGATGAAAATCGCCAGCACGGTTATCAGATAAAACCTCTGTAATTCCTGTACGTGAACATTTATAATTACCATTGATTGCAAGCAAGTGACAATATTTGAGGACATTTATTGAGATGCTGATATTATGAACGAAACTATGATAAAACTTCGAATAAACGAAATTAATGGCAATTCAAATTTCAATTTAAAGTAATAACTGGTATTCTGTAGATTATTTAAATGAAATAAGTATTTGAGACAAAACCATTTGTCTTTGTAAAATTATGTAAATCTATGTAGAAACAGATATCACAGTCGTTGATAAGAATTACGGTACATCACAAAATGTAAATGTGGTATTGTCGACAGGTCTTGATATTATAAAATACGAGTAAATCATTAGAAATCTTGAACATCGAAATCATTAAAAATCTTAAACGTTTTAGACATATGTAATATTTTTCACCTTATGACACCAAAACGCGTAGTAAACTCCAGACATATAAATAGAAAGAAGGCTCAAAGCGATGCCGAAGAGATCAAACGAAAGGAAACACCAGTAATCCTTTTCGCTTCGACAGGAAAATGTATGATAAACCGAGGATAATATCATACAAGCCTAAAACAATAAAATATGGACTTCATATCTTCAGTTTACCTCGGACGCAAGTTTCACGGATTAAAATATCACATTAATGAATTACTTTCAGTGAACAAATTTTTGTTATTACCTGAAAACAGATTAATAAAAGAGCTACGATTACTTTGTCACCCATTGGCGCATGAATGTTCAATAGACAAAGATCGTACAGCGTCAAACCGAAGAACAACATCCAACCAAATATGTGACTCCATATATTTACTGTTTCATTTGTCCACCAAAATATACTGGAATAAACAATTGTCTAATATATATAACATTTAATAGGATATACAAAAAAATATTAATTTTTATTATAACGTGTAAACAAGGACGTGGAGTAGGTTGCTAAGAAAAAAATATTGATAACACTACAAACCTTTCGATACACAATTTTGTAGTAAGATATCCGCGATATCCGCTTAGAATGTAAGGATTGTGTTGAAGATATTCAGGTGCTTCTGTATAAGAAAGAAGGCGCCTCATTTTTTCCTCATCCTCCAGCGTCACTTTACGTTTGATGGGCGACTCCTCCAATTTCTTGGAGGACCTCCGGTATACCTGCACGAAAAGTTGCGAATTGTTTTGTGAAGCTTTATGCCCTTAAAATTCTTTTGACAATGTTAACTCCAAATTTGTTAAAGCTACATTCTTCATGCAAATCAGAATTAACTGAACTTTTATTAATTGAATCTTTCATCGTAAAATGTAAAAGCGATAAAAGCATTCAATTTCTTTTTAATTCTTATTATATTATGTTAAATGTGTTTTCTAAAAAAAAAAGTACCGTTTGATTTCTTCGTTTGGTAATTGGTTTCACAATTACTCATTCAATTTAACGTATAAAAGTGAATGAAAAACATACATTCTTTTTTTTCAAAAAGTATTGTTCTATTAATTTTCATGTGAATACCATTCACATTCAGTCATATAAATTCATTGGAAACAAACATTCGATTGGTACATTAATTCCAGGTTAATTTGCTGATCAGGCCAATTATATTTCTATCGTATAAGATGCTGCGCCAATGAAGATTTAACATCTATACCGAGATACGAAAGCTGTTAAAGTAGGGCACAACGGGACTTGCCTTTCATCTCAGTATGTCAAGTTTATATCGCAGGCTTTCTTCCGCTTCTTTCATATCTTTTACCAGGGAAATCAATTTTTACCTACAGATACTAGATATAGGTACCATTTCCTACTGCTTCGTTCAACCGTGACCAGCGTAATCGCACATATTCTCAGATTATGGGTTTGACAACGTACTTTATGCGTGAGATATTACTTCTGAGTTTTCGCAAAATTCGTATTTAACGTAAGATTTCACTTTGTCACAACGCATTTCATTGATATTATTTTTAAACAATTTTCTCAAAGCGATTTTTCCAAAGCAAAATTGAAAATCTTAGATGCAGTTATACAATTATTGTTTCGCGGATGATTATTAAATTTTCTCAGATGCTTATAATTATCGATAAATTCAATAAGATTATAAACCTTTCCTGGCTTCGACTTCCTCTTCACTTAGCAAGAAAATCATTAGGCTTAGAGGAAAGTTGCTAGAAATAATATGCGGTTATTTAAACATCAGACAGCAGAAAATTCTGAATCTAGTTATTAATCTATAATTCCATGTGAACGTAAGTTTCTCCTATCCCTGAGAACATACTGGTTTTTCAAACGAAATTTGAACTTAGGAAGATGACTTACTGTGTTACTGAGTATGTGAGCACGTGTCATTGAACTTAATGAAATCTACATACGTCGATCTTATTCAATGTTTCAATGATTTGTTCCTTTTGCTCCAATGGAGAAAGTTGTTCCTACAACAAGGTGGCCAATCTAATGACGGCGATGTTTGTTTTGCAAGAAAATTCCATGAATAATCCTTGAACCGACCAGACGAAATATTGCCACATGAAGTATAGGTAGTTGTCGAAAGTACTTAGAAACTACTGTTTCTTTAATACCGGTTTTATTGCCATTCACAAGAACGAACAAAAATTCCAGTAAAGGACCTAGATGCCCGTAAGCCGTCATTTGAAGAGAAGATAAACAGATGTTCGAGACGTGAAATCGCAAATGGAGCAGAACAAGAACAATCGTTAAACTCGCCGCTGCGTGATCTAATAGTAATCACAGGTAGTTCCAAAGTGAAAGTCGAGGAACGAATGACCACACGCACAAAGTGTATGAATTTCTTGAAAAGAAAAGAAAAAAGAAACCCTCGACTGAGAAAAGTCAACGCCCTCCCGTTTCGCTTCCGGTAAAAATAAATCGAGAACAGTCGTTGTCCACCGCTTCACATTAATTTACCTCGCCGGTAAGCAGCTTGAGGGTCTCCTGTGCGAACTCGGCTGTTGCCTGTATTTCATGATTATTGTTGCACGGCTGGTCATCATCGCTCTGCTTTTCTTTCTGCTCAGTCACTTCTTCCACGCCCGCCAGTAATTTCATCATTGGAGAAACTAGCCACTTATAATCGGGTCTGTAATCAATAAAATTCGAATGACGAGTAAGATATGCGTGTTACATTTTTTTTCTCGGCAGTCACAAAAATCGGTATCTTCTTCTTGCATGTAATAATAATAAGTGAAAGCGACAAATGAATCTATTAAAATATATTTCAATACATTTATATTTCAACAAAGACGTTATCTTGATGTTTCGTTCATGTATGCTAAGATCACGTTCGAATTGCTGTTTTCGTAGACCTTTGTTATATGTTTACATTCTATTTCTAGGAAGTTGCAAGACAAGAAGATATCGTAAATGAAATAACTGTTTACGCACAACACAATAGTCGCAATGGTAATTTCGTATCGCGCAGAAGGAACTTGTTAATCAGTTGACATGCATAATGCAACAAGGAAAGCAATGTGCCACGCAAGTAGGTTCTGTTTTCCTTCAGTTTGATTTTCAAGCTGTCACGTTTTAAAGAAATGTTATGATCGAAAAGGAAAACTATTCGCCTCGATATTCCCGAGCGTCGTAAACGCAAATTCCTCTTTCTGTGAAGTCGCAGCTCGAGAGTCAAGGAAGAAATTTTTCTGTTCCAACCGCATAATGACTCTGTTCACTCTCTCTGCGCGTCGAGCGATCTTTCACGTTTAATCTATGAGAAAGTTGAAGCCGCTCTTCGGAACCCGTTAAGACTGCGTTTGCCTTTGGAGAAAAGTATGACTAGTGTGCTCTCTACTCTCATCTTGAAGCAAGTCGCCGTCTGTCGATTTTTATCTACCGAGGGAAACCGCGTGAATATATTGCCGTTCGCTGTTCTCCATGTATACGGTACCATTGAATCACTGCGACGCGATTGAAAATGTAAATACCATAAAGTAGAGTCGTGTTTTGCTTCGTCTGTACTTGAATTTTTTTGTACTTATTTGAAGAGTGTATCTTCCGGTAACCTTTTGCGATTTTAATTATATGCATTTATCGTGGTATGCTATTTAATTAGCTTGCATCAATTAGATGCAGTAAGTAAATTTTTGCATTCAATACCGTGAGAGCCGAATTTTAATTATTTTCGATTTCTCGTACGATTAGTTACAGTGGAAACGATCATATTTTATTATTTATTTAAAAAATAAATATTTGTATATTAAAGACAATGATTATTTGTAATATTAAAAATATTATGGTAGAATCAACTTCTAAGATTTTGTGCTTTGTTGTCAATTGCGTTTCGATTATGAAGCAATGGGAAAGATTGGGAAAGATTACACTGCCAAGTACCAAAAACATTGATTCGTGTTTATAAATGTAAAATTTCGCCCCTTTGGAAATACTTCACTTCCTACATTGGAGTATGTATTTCTATGACATTTACATACACGTACATAAGATTATCGTACAGCAACATTCGAAAAAACATCATTATGTAAATGTAATACACGACGAGTATGTAAATGAAGCAAATGGTAAAAAATGTGTAATTTACTGCAGCAGTGATTGTACTTACTAAATCTGTGAAGAAATAATTCTCAATATGAATTATCCAAAATTCACGACACTTTTCACTCGTAACTAATTTATAAATACACAATATATCATAAGCAATGGGGAAAATTTCATTATTGATGAAATACACTATCAGTGCATACACTTGGTACTTCCTGAATAATTTCTTCTTTTTAACATTGGAAACAAAGAAACTTCCTTACTAATAGAATCTCAGCAATCGTATTAACAAATATTCTTTCCCAGACTTATTATTCGTTTGCCTTGAACGCTTCACATCTACAAACTGTCATTAAAATTTACATTTTTATAAGAAAATTTGAAATTGAAATCCTTTCGACAATAGTTTCGGTAAATAAAAAATCTAATGAAACCGCATTGATGTTCAATTAACTTCATACACATTTAAAGACTCTTGTACGCTATAAGCGCACGAAGATCTGCAGTCCACTTGCGACAACAACTGTTTACACAATTCCCAATTTTCGGCATATCTTCTTCGCAAAGAGCTTTAACACTAAACGTTCCACGACCGGTTAAAAAACCGGTTTTCGAATGTGGTAAAAAATTCTGCCGTTTCTTTCATCCATATATCAAATATTCTCCGGTTTTCCAATTTTTGTCTTTCCTTTTGTTTGTTTCCACTAAGAAAAATTGATCGTTTAATTCGTTTAACTTTATTTTAGAAACAGTTATTCAACCAGTTACCGTAAGAATAGGTACGTATAAAGTGCTGGTACGTTTAGTGTTAATATATTATATGTAATATAAAAATCCGAGAAAAATCTACTTTGATATTTACTTACATAGTTGTATCGTAGGTAAACAGTTGCGTAACAAATGCGTAAAGATCCGTAGTCCGTTCACAACTAAGTAAATCATGCAGTAATAACAAGGGGAAAGTACTAGTCGCAGAAGCTGTCACAAGCAGCTGTATAACAAAGTGGCAATTATTCAGAGGAAACCGTAGTTTGAGAGTCGGGGAACCGGTGAACGCGCGGTGTTTCGCGGGCACCAATAAATTTTCATGGAAACAACACGTTTCTGCGTGTACGCAATATTTTCGTTGGCAAAACGCAATGAACCTGTACACCCGGTGTCCGACGAGATTTACTTTGTTTGCAGCGTTACGTACCACTTTGTTGCCGCGTGTTGTTTTCCGCAGGTTTTATCGGTACGGGCTTTGTCACGGGAGAGGCTTTTTGAAAAGCTCGCGACAGAGACAGGAAGCGAGTCGATCGACGATCTATCGACTCATTTTTCCGACGATCGCGTATTCACGTGCGAATCACCTTGATATCCTCGATCGCCGAACGTGCCGAGAACAGCACTGATACTGAATAAGCCGCACCGCGACCAGGCTGTCTCAAGCGCCGCTCGATAGATCGAAACACGTCCACGTACTACCGTCTAGTGATGGGCTCGAGCCATTCACTTTTGATCTTGACCAGGTTTAACAAACATTTCGATAACATTTAATGAGTACACCGATAAGAATTTTAATTAACGATTGATGATGTCTTCGCTGTTGGCATTATCGTTTTAATTTGTTATTGTTTAGAGTAAACGTTAACTGTAGAAATATATTGTTTTTCTTGGACAGAATATATTTTGCAGTTTGGAGATTTTATAACGTTTTCGTCTTAAATGTTGAGTTCATGACTGAGTTTTTTGCGATTTATTGATTTAAAGAAATGGTCAACAAATAAAAAATTTGATCAGAGATTTTGATGAAAAAATAAAGAACTTTGATCACGTCGATGGAGAATTTTTGTTAAATATTCGGAGATTCATATTTATTATGAATAAATGTAGAGAAAGATTAAAGTTGTAGAAAGTACTTATATAAGTGGCTAACAGTAGGTTATTAATCCTTATGTAAGTGAGTAAAGCAATAAGTGTGTGTAAAAATAATAATTTTCCCAATGAATTGGATTAAACAATTTAGAGAATGATAACTTCATAGTTACGTTCATACGTATCTTAAAAATCAATTGTATAAGATCTATATTTTGCAAAGAAATCTTCTGTTTTAAGAGTGATTTTTATACACTTTATCGTCTGCTTAAAATTTCGTCCGTTGTTATTTCATTCTAAAATTTTCATTCTTAAAAAACTCTATTCTTTTGGAATTTGAAATTTGAAAACTAAATAAATATGTTGTTTTTATATCTTGAAAAAAAATAAAAATTTATATAAACAAAATATAATACATTCCTTTAAACGACATTGACTTTTCAGATTCAAAAAATATATCGTTAATTACTTTTTTTTAAGCCAAGAATAAGTAGTTAACAACCGATTCAACTGAGTAAATATTGAGTTTTAACGGAGCATTTAAGGAGTATTCCTGAAACCCGGATATGAGTTCGTAGACGAACCAAACTTTCTACTGCTTTCATTATAAGATCAGAGATAAAAGAGGGCATTCTTAGTATCTCCGCATTTTATCTCGACTATATAAACAAAAAATAAAATTCATTTTAAACTAAGCTAAAATGTGTTTGCTTATGTAAATTTTAAACGAAGATATATATTTTCTCAAAGATTAAGAATTTATTTTGTTCTGTCACCATATTACACAAAATTCATGTGTTTTACAGTGGAATTCTGTAAGTAGGTTGGACCGTCATTGATGACCTCCATACATTCAGCCTTTTTTCGTCACGACACAAATTAAATTATGTGAATATTTATATATATAAAATGTGACAAATTCTTCTCCGAGTACTAACGATTAGATGTTAAACATTAATGAAAATTTATTGTTTGCTGTGCTAAAATACAACGGTCAAGAGCAACCAGGCCGAAGGGAGGAAAGATATCGCCACTTTCACCGGTGCGTGTGTTATTTTCAACTCAACTTATAGCTCTATGAAGAATATTGTAGCCTGTTGTCGTCCTTTGTGAAAGTCTAACAAAGATATATAACCAGTTCGCGATGGCAGATCGAACACTAGTCGTAAAAACTTTCTTTGTTATTACATCTAGTTTGCAGAGTATAGAACATTTATACGTAAAATACACGTATCGTAATCGATCAGAATGAAGGTGACAATTCTATTTTACACCTGTTTTGCTCGAATAATCTAAAAACTTTGAAGGAGAGAATATATACGCTTGCATTATTTTTAAAAGTTTTATTCCGAGCGAAAACAGTATATCAATGACTGGGGTTAGTCGAATTCCGCGTTCAGCTAATCGAATATCTAATTTTGAATATAATTGTGATCTAATATATGAATAAAAAACTTAAACGTATCATAAGTTTAAAGGTCCCCGTTATCCGCCGATGATCGTGGTAACAAGTGATTAGAACGCGCGTCGCTTATCATCATGTTGGAATTTATTATATAAAGGGCTAATGCTAAAATGTACACAAGATACGTTATTAAAAATGTTCATTATTGCGATAGTAATAATTAATTACACATGAGTAGTTTTCCTTCCTAGTAGAAGTTGTGAACGATGAATCAATTTTTCGTGGCAAAATGTTCTGAATACCTGTGTTTGCCTGAGCGTTTTACCTCGTAATTAAATTACAGCAATACAGGTTCGTACGAGACAGAATCGACATTAACAAGTGATACGCTGTTCTTACATACTAATCGATTTGTCTTTTCTAGGCTTCGTTAGTCGCTCCGCGAGCATGCCATACTTTATAAGCACCGATTTACAGTTTCGAGACTTGACCATCAACGCAATTGATCTTATCGCTCGCAAGACAGAATCGTTTCCATGTATTCTTTTTTTTTTTGTCATTTTCTTTTTCCTTTTGCTTACTTTCTAATTAAGTGACCATCATTACGATATCTCGGGATTTCTTTATATACCATTATCTAGATTTAGAAGCCGAAAACACTGCTAGCACCGAACGACAGGTGCATCATCGTTAAATTATTTTAAACGAGCTAACCGATGAACGATACGTTACGTGGCAGCAACGTGATCCTTCATCACGTATAGATTGTATTAGGTAGATTTAGGTAGAGTAGTCTGAAACCTCACTGCGGATCCTTTACAGCCACAATATATGAAAAAATATATAGCATTGAGAACGTATCTTGGTATATTCGAAAACATTAAAATCTACGTAAACGGTTAGTTCTGTTCGCATAGTAGAGGTCTTTGCAGAGATAGTAATAGTGAAGGTACGTATTTATATTGTGGTTGACAAGGAAACTTAAGACAGATTCTAAATAATAATAGTAATAATAGTAATAATAATAATAATAATAATAATTAATAATAATAATAATAATAAAAAGTTATCGCTTAAAGAAAAATTTACACGCAAAACAATAGTAAACGCATTGATTCGAATAAAATAGAGTGACAGGCGAATCATGGATTCGCAAGGTACAACGCATGACTTCGCTGATAATATAACTGACGCATTAATATAAAATGAATACGAAGGATTTTATAAATCCGTCCTTTAAGCTCCAAGGCTTATTGAAATAATTTCGATCTACTCCGTAACGCGTTTTACGTGAGAATCCAAATAAAATGTAATTCGCTTTCCATCATTTATCGATAAATAGTGACATCAATGACTACATCCTTCCAATAGTACGTAAATAAGACCGAGTGACGTAAAACCTACGCCGTAAAAAAACTGTGAATGTCTTTGATTGGTATTAATATCGTACAGGCCCGTGAACGGCAGGTACTTTTGTCGCGGTCAGATAAGTGGCTAAACAAATTTTCTCTTACTTGCTGCATATGTTTCAGTTACTTTGACTTGTATAGTCCAATTTATCGATTAACGATATGCATAATTAAACTACTACACACACACAGGAACCAAACCACAAATTTCGAGTTACTCGTAGAATTTGTTAGATAGGTAAGGAATTTTAATAATTGAACAAAACATACAGGTATAGTTTCAGTAGTATTTATATATAGCCCAGTCTTACAAAAATGTGACTGCATCGTTCCAAGGGACGGGCAAACATTGCTCACTTGCGTTAAAACTAACAATTGGTGTGCTGTCAGTTCAAAGGTTTTCGTTTCACTGAGAAAGTAGGTACATAATAATTACGGTATCATAAGCATAATAATTAGAAATTAAACTATTAAATTCAAATACAAATCCTACTTTCACTCTCCTATATTTTACTTCCATTTTTATTTATGAAAATCAAAGCGGACATATTTCTTTTTTTTTCCTGATTTATATATATAATGTTATGTGACCACCTTTAAAATTGCCTCAATTGCCATTGTGGCAACGTCTCAATATTCGCAGGCCTCTCAGGACGAAGAAAATTTCAGATCGACCACGTTTGTCTGAGCACTCTTCGATCCCAAGTACTGGCTTAAGTTTAAAAGTAGACGAGCCATAACTAATTTCAATCGGTGCTGATGCATAAGTGGCAATAGGCTGGGGCTGCTTGTTGGTGGTTTTTAGATGTTGAAGTCAACGGAGGTTGGCGCATCACATGGCATACTTGCGCGTCCATTCACGTGCCAATTCATTGTATTTCTCCCTGTCAGTTTTGTATAACCTTGCTATCTCTGGTACCAGAGGATCATCTGGATTTGGATCGCAGAGCAAAGAGCATATTGACAGTAACACTGAAAAGAAAAAGATTTTTTTTGTATTAAATAACCGCCATAAATAATATTGTATTCCTTAATTGATAAATTAATTCACTCTGTTATATTAAAATTATGTACCCTTTGATATGGTGAGTGCTGGGGACCATTGCGATCTTAAAATATCCAAACAAATACTTCCATTACTGTTAATATTTGGATGATAAATTCTAGTTGTAAAAGCAACCTGTACAAACATGCATTGAATTAATATGCTATTTATATATTACTATATCACATGGTAATAATATATTATATTTAATTCACATACCTTAGGTGGTTTGAATGGGTAATCTGTGGGGAAGTGAATTGTAAGGAAAAATACTCCTCCTTGATATGGACTGTCAGGCTGAAAATAACACATACTTCTGAATTTTTAATAACAGTTTTTTTATTGTATCAAACATAATGTAACTTTTACTAACTTTTTCAATGCAAAAGATCAAGTTTCTTAAACTATTGAAACAAGTAGGACAATAATGTTACGTAAATTATACTTCACAATTTATTATGATTTACTGATAAGTTACTTTACAATAACAATTAAAATTATATAAACATAATTAGACAATGTAACTGCAGAAACAAGTATGCATAACAAAAGTATTATGCAAAATGTCACAGTATTATACAACCTAATATAACTGAAAATTGTTTGTTAAATCTTTTATAAAATTATTACATTAAATGTTACATGCATTATGATATGTTTTACAAATGAGAGTATTAATTACACATAGTACAACATAAATTTTATGGTTTGAAAATTACCTTTAAAGATCAGAGTGAAAGCGAAAATACTTGCAAATAATACTCACAAATTATATTTATACTTGTATTACTATAAAATCTTCAAAATGTTTATACTTTTAAATTGATAAATATTAACTTAATTAATTCATGTGAACTAAAGGATGAAAATTAATGTATACTCACTGGTCCCATAATAGTAGCCTGCCAGTGGAATACTGAAAATAATTATACAATTAAATAAAAAAATTTATATCTTATTCCATGATTTTACAAGCATAAAACATAATAGTGAGTTACAACCAAATATAAAATTAACACAATTCTGGACTTAAAAAAAAATAATTAAAAGATGATTGCGATATTAAAAAAAAAGTTATGATTATATTCAATTTAGTTAAGCATGAATTTTTAGATAAACTTCAATCACATTGTACATCAATTTAAAATTATAATTTTACATTCTTCAAGAACTAGAAATATATAGTAGACATATGAAAGTATTATAAGATAACTTACAATCATCTCCTACAGGACCAGCAGAGCATTGCGCCGGTGGATCTCTACCAAGGTCCTGAAGTTCCTAAGCAGAGAGACAAATCTGATTAAAAATGTAAATGAAAACTTTATACTTTTTCAGCTCATGTGTATTTGATAATCTTAATTAACAATTCATGTTTTAAATCCTTTATGATGTCTATAAATTTTCATGTTGTAATAAACTACAACTGCTATTTTAAATATAACTCTTTTTTACTAAGAATATAGTTTATGAAAAGGCTATTTTATATACTGCATCATAATCTTTTAAGAATTTCATGTATACATAAAGTTTAATGAAATGATGAAGTATTTATAATGGTGATAAATATATTTTTTTTACCACATATGTATGTGTACACATTATGCATAAAAAATAGCCATGTATAAATGTTACTTTGTTACATTGAAAGTACAAAAGGTAGTTCTATTGTATTGTCTATAGTATACAATATGAAAACGTAGCTTATGATTCATCCATATATAAGATGTATGAGGATACTGCTTAGAGGTAAATAATATTACTGATAAGTTAAAATAAGGGAATCTCAGCTTATACATTAAAATATTCTTAATGGATGTATAGATGGTAATTCAAAGAAGCGGTTACAATAAATTCAATGCATACATTGAAATTATTACAATGGTACGTACAAACTATGTATATTATTTATCCTATAGAATAATAGAATATGTTGATGTTATACAATGTGCCCATTCGAAAAGTACTACATCTGGAGAATTGTATTCTTTTGTCTTTGCAATAAATGATCGTTTGACCGATGAATAATATACTGACATAAAAGCTTGATGTCTGGCATGCGTTACGTACAAATATATCAGTCCTAAACGATTCATTTTAGCATATTAATGTGTTTTACAGCCACATGGTGAAAATCACATTATACCTTAAACAAATACCAGTGATCATATAGAAAATGAGGGTGCCAACTCTTTCCATAAATGGACTATGAATGCACTAATGAAATTTTCGTAATTTCTAAATATCTATAGCTTCATGCATATATGTATATGTATAAAGATGTATGTAACGCACGGTTTTACGTTACTTCCGGTAATTTATCGGCTAGCCACTTAAAATTTTTTTTAGATTTTCACTGTCACCTTAGGTACATCCACTGGCACAAAGTGGCACTGTGCTGCGTGCGCAATGCACTGTGTTGAGATAAACGCGTACGTAAGTAAATCAAAGCACAATCGAAGAATGCAAAAAAATTGAGAAAAGCCAACATGATTTTCAATGCTGGCTCACATTGCTTCACTGCAAAATCGTTAAGGGCGTTCAACCGCATTCGGCACACATCACATCAACACCTGACTGTCTTTATACAAAACGAACACCGCTGACCATCCACATACCTTATTAATTCGTTTTAAAGCCATTTGATGAACTGTGTGTTGATATTAACTGGCTGAAAACCAGACAGCGATAGCCGCTAGCCGAAGATCTTTGATTAGGGATTGCAAGATGGCTGCCTTCTAAACGTAGTCCTACTGCGTTCGTCAAACCAAATACCATAAAGTATTCTTCCAGTATTTTTTAGATAGTTAAGTAGGTGACTTGTGATTTTGCTTATGATTATTTTATATATTGAATTTTATAATACAAACATCCCAGAGGAAAAGGCCGTCCTTGTACATTCTCTTCAATCTTATATTGTGAAATCAAGACAGAGTCACCACGGATTTCCTTTTATCGGCAACTAGTGAATTTTTGACATTATACGCCGGTTCGCCGGTAGATGTCGCAATGAAAAGTATGAAAACGATTCGTCAATTGCGTGATTGAAACAGATTGCATTCGTATCTCGCCGTGTATGTACATATATAAGACTGTATATTTATGTATTTATCAATTCAATGATGACCGAACGAAATTTAAACGGTAGTTCAGTCATCAAATTACACAGGTTTATACATATCATTGTAAGGAACAAGTATACAGTAAAAGTTTTAAATAAAGAAGATTAAGATTCTGTAATGCGCACAATTTCCACTAATTAAAATATAAATTACTCCACTGTAATGTCAGTGATTGTATTTCTTGGAAACGTATATCGTAGTATACCCTTCCCGAAAGAATCAGCAAGTTGCTACTATACTAAATACGTTAATTGCACTTTGTGTGTATGACAAAACAAAACAAACAATGACGATATCAGTTATAACACGAGGTTAGATAATGTCAGAAAATTATCAAGTATCACAATAACATATATTCATATCCCAATATCGTAATACACAAAATCTGTATTGTAATTCACCATTATGGCCGAAGAAAAAAGAAAGGTAAAAGGATGCTACTGTATTCGGCAAAAGTTTCCGGAGATGCAGAAGAGGCAGGAGCAGTGCAAACGGAAGAGGCAAACGCTCGTATACAACCCGGAGGAGGAAATGTATCACGAGCCATACATGAGGGATTTACGAAAGGAATTTTCAGATGTCTCTCTATTGTGCGATTCGAAAATTGAATTGCCATGGCGAGATATCGCGTTACCAGCAGCCGGCATGAAAATTCGTCAAAAAGTTTCGTTGACTTCTTTAAATAATCACCAGGAGTCAGTTAACGACAAAGATTCTGGGAAAGAGCTCACAACAGAGGAATCCATGGGCACTATGACTTTACCGTGGAAAGACCTAATAATTACTGAAACCGTGCAGTCCGGTCTGGCTGATCCTAAAGGTTGCGACTCCGCGCTAGAAATTCCATGGAACGATCTTGTGCTTGAAAAGCCGATAGAAATACGGGCACCGTTAGAAGAAGCCTGTGCCAACGATGACGTTGAAATTCCGTGGGATGACATTTTAATACCTCGAAATATAGTGATTGAGTCACAAAAAAAGAAAAAGCATCCATCTTCGAAGTATCCGTCGCGCGGGTTGGCAAGCATGGGGTGCACTAGATGTAAAAGATGTTGCCTACAAAGCAGTACAGGAACAAGATCAGCTAGTTCCTGGAAATAGATCTTTACCGCTTAATAATGCCGGCGCCTTTGCATCAGAGGGAAATACAGAAAGGGAACATTTTATTTTTCCCATTCTTAATCTCATGGAATATAATATGTTAAAAGTGTAACATGTACTTGTACAGTTGCGTACTATCACATTTTATTTGAAAAACAGGAAAGGAAAAATACATTTTTATCGAATTTTTCAAGTAAATGCATATGTGGACGTTCATACATAATGAAACACTGATCACAGGTAAGTAATCGTATTTATACATGATGAACGTGAAATTCAAAAGAAGTATGCAGATTACGTAATACTTTACAACTTCAAGGTCGTCAAGAATCTTTTTCATTAGGTTTATTTTTAACCGATCGAAGTTGTTTGACACGCATTTCGTGTTACGCTACGAATACAGTTTATCGCAAACGAGTAGAAATAAATATTGTTATACCGTAAAACCATGTTTTTTTACTGTTTTATTTAAATTTATGAGCACAAGATGATACGAATAAAATAGTTTATGTAAAAACAAAGAAAAAGAAATTATTGTCGCAAATTATGTTACCGGCAGGGGTCACGTTGGGATTCGAACGGGCTCGACGATGGCGCTGGTGGCGCTAAACACCAGGTCGCCATGATTATTACCCGCTTGGTGATCGTGATTGGCGGCAGTCGGCACTTGCCAGTAGACGCGACTGGTGGTTCGTTCCTATCGCAGTGAGATTGAACGCTGCACACTGAAAATGGCGTAGCAAGGTGGTATAATGCTGTAATCAGTATCTAATATAAACGTATCGTGAAAGGCCTTGAGAAGTGTTGGAGTGTTCGCTATTCGACTTTCCGATCATCCGCAACGATACCGTCCAAACCAAGAGCGTTGTGTTTAACCCGATGGATCGTTTCTTCTTGATAGCAGCGTGAAAAGTGTGTTATGTGATGGTGACTTGTACTGTGCTTTGACAGCGGATGTGTTCGCGTTCCTCGTGACGTTCCGTAGCTCGAACGAAGCCGCAGTCCTGACGAATCAATCGTGATTCGATCGCCACGCGGAAAGAAACGAGGAATAGCGATCGTGCTCACGGGAAATCGAGAATCTTTCCTCGTGACAGCTTGACGACCTCGACTCCAGACGAGTTCAAGATGGCGCCACCGGCATTTTGACACTTGCCCAAGATCCGTCAGCTGGATTTTACTGCCGTACAGTTTTCTCTACTATGAGCAGAGAATTTTTAGTTTCCTGTGCACCCTACACCTATCAGGTAAATTTACATCACGTTCAATTAATAATCTTGCCACTCGCGCAGCGTTACGATCGCATCCTGTGCGATCATTGTCTCCCACCATCTTCCAAACCAGCACTCTGAATTGTCGGTTTCTTTTGGTAACAATGAAAGGTTTTGTTTTTCTTTCATTACGTGCGCGTAGAACATTCTATGATGTAGGTTCCAATGGAGCCAGAAATATTTAACGTACAATCTCTTCTACAATAGTTAAATGGAAATTTGTATTCCGGAGATTTTCGTTTTTATACGAAGAAAGGACTAATTACGTTTGAAAGTGTTACAAATACTCGTTTGATCCACGTTGTTACATTTACGACACGGTTGAAGAAAAAAGTAAACTACGTAGTCATAATGTTTCCTTCGCACCAAGGAAAACAATTTTTTACCATGTTTGTCTTGTGGTTATTTACTTTTGAATGTGTGTGTGTGTGTGTGTGTGTGTGTGTGTATTTGAATTCTGGCGTTCGTTTGAACGCCGGGAAGTAGATACGAGCGTGGAGAAAACAATGAAGACGATGTCAGTTGAAAGACGACTGTCGGTAAGGAACTGCGGGTAATGTCAAATGGTACAATGAGAAAATTGACAAGTAACCTAAACAGCTTCACGTTTACTTAACGCGATATCATTTCGCGGATATTTCGATCGTGGGGATGAGTAACGATGCCTCTTCGTCGAGGAGTGATGTGTCTTCCTTTGAGGCATCTACAACGAACCTGGAGGAGGAATTTAACTCTCAAGCTTCCGTTGATAGGGACGCTAAGAGACCGAGACTGTCGGTCGCGAACAGCATAGCCAAGAAGGTTAGAAGTATGCGACTCTCCAAGGAAATATGACATTTTTGTTATATTTATTTACACTGTTTAAAGAAATATGAATTGTTATTATTCTTGCTTATTTTCTATGGACAAACAGAATTTCAATGGGCTTTATTTATCTTTATAGTAAGCAATTTGTATATGTAACTTTATATTTAATTTTTGTAAGGAAAACATTGTTTGTAATATTTAATTAGCTAACTCAACCATTTTTTCTTAGTGTGTTTGAGATTGAAAGAATTAAATTAATAGTAAGTTGTATAAATATCCAATGAATTCTGTGGGATAAAAAAAGCAGAGGGACATGTAAAACTCGTGTCTTGTTTTTTTATTTAATTAATATGTTATTTTAAAATCACTAAAGCCCATTTCTCAAGCGAACGTATCTATAGCAATTTCCACTAATTTTAGGAAATACAATATACAATTAGAAGCTTGTTGATTTGTACGTTTAAATGAAAGTTTAAACTAAAGGCGAGTTCCTTTAATTTTAGTATTGAAATAAGCTCAACGTATACGGTTTATAAAACCTTACACTTATGTGATTACTCCGAAAAGCGAATTATTAGGTGTTCATACGATATACTGTTAATTCGCCATTAGATTCTGTGAATTTGTATTTTTTTTACTTCTCCTAAATTAATATCCATTATATTAACCAATTTTATTCAAAGTATGTGTACTCAGAAATTATTTCAATCGGAATCTCGTTTATCGTTCATTATAAGTAGATCCGTTCCAAGTTTTCGGGTGTCTCTTTCTTGAAGCGTTTCTTAAGATCGAAGACCAAAATCAGGTCTGGAAATGAATTGAGCGGATGCTCTTCCGTGACCATCGATACCACGAACATCTTGTTAGATCGTGCGCTGTCGGAAGCGGCTGGTGGTACACATTTTACCAATTTACGAATTCTTACGTACAAGACTATTTTTACGATTATCAATATTTACGTTAACAAAATATTATTTGTCAGCGACCACGATCAATACGCAAAATCTGCCGGAAGATGGGGATACTGTCGAGTGGACAGAAAACCATATGGTCGAACCAGAATGGCATGACCCCGGTTGTAACCCTTTCATTGGTTTCACGGCATTCGATTCTGAAGGACCTTCTACCTCGAATATAGATGGTAATATACTTAATACTGTGAACTGCTGATTATAAGGGTGCTGTGCCGGAAATGGCACTGACTGCCTTATACGAGTCCATCGGTCAATCTTTTGAACCTTTAAATTTAGTGTTGCATTATTTATTCACACTGCTATCCGCGTATTTTCGGGTATTGTTCTACTAATCGATTCATATGAGTTAAAAATTCTACAATTTTTTTTATGCCAGTGCATCAAATATCAGACCTTGAAAATGTGATCTGTATTCATGAAAACAAAATATATAGAAAATTGATTCATGTTTTACCATTTAGTCCTAAATTTGGGAAAAGATTTAAGGAAATATAAAAAATCTCTAATTTTTCTATAATTCAAGATACTTTTTGTAGTGTCGAGTATTATTCTATTAATTTATGTAAATGAACAAAATTATTAAATTATATTAAATAAAATTTGGACCTTTGAAACGCGTTATTGCATTTTTGAAAAGGAATGTATTGTTTTTGTAACATCAGGGTTAATTTCGGGAAACAGAGTAAGAAAACATGGGGGTCAATTCATTTTTTCGGTTGATATAAGCGTTGAATGTTCCAGGAACGCGATATTCACCGATTCGTGTATATATAATGTATTACATAGGACGGGTTTCCTTGCAGGCGAAGATCAGGGTAGGAATCGATTTATTCACTCTACAACTTCTGCGGTATCCGGAACCGAGCCTGTTGAAACCATCTCGAATTCCGTGAACACATCCGAAACGATGACTGATGGAGTATTTCTGGACGTTTTAACCCCAAGCGGAATTCTGACAGAGAACATTTTAGAGTTTGCGGGAGCTTTGTCGGTTCCTTTCGGGTAAACCGTTCAATCTGCATTTAATCTGCATTTTAATTTAAAAATACTTCTATAAGTCCTGTAGATTAAGGAATCTGCATTGAATTAAGAAAGTAGCTTGATTTATTTTTATTTTTCCTAAATCGTAATTAACAATTCTTAAAAAAGAAAAAGCTATAAATACCCACTAAACGAAAAAAACCACTACGATGAATGCTTTTAGAACACAGACGGAAAGATTAAGGGACGAGTACTATCTTGAATACTACAACTATATCGAGGACGTTGATCGTCGAGGGCTGTACGTCGAAGGCCCGGTAAACGGTGAAAGCGGATTTAGTAGATCGAGTACAATCGGGTAATCGTTTTGCAATCTCGAAACTTGTGTTAAGATTTACATTGTTATCCAAATTCATTTCGCTACCAAATATTTTCTTACTAATTGAAACAAAATAAAAATTTGACAACGATAGAAACAACTAGATAATAATATAAATCAAACACTACACTATTGATTAATAATAATTATTACGAACAATATTTATCTCAGACATATACTAAATGGTATTCACAAGTAGACATAAAAAATTCACATGCCAATCATCACGTTAAAGAATTAAGGATCCTGCTCTCTTTATTAATCCTTTTATCGAATTGCCGGTTAGTCTCTGCCACTGCTAGACGGCGTGGTAGCCATCTCTTATAGCTGATGCGTAACTTTTGCCATGGGGTTCGAAACGCGTGTATTTGATTCCCTTACACGTGCGTCCTCAAAACTGATTACTCAACTTAATACTTGCGGTGAGGCGTTGCACGCGTATACTATTTTCTCGTTTGGCCCCGGCTTTCGCGCTGGCAGCACACTTCGTGCCCGCAGCCCGACGCGGAGATATCAAATGTACCAACTGCGTCGGGTTGTTCCGACGAGCGGAGTTGAAGATTGCGGTGCATTGTGCGGCTCCGTTCGATAAACCTACTCGCGTGCTAACCGCGTTAAAAATCGCTAACGGTATCGTTACTGCGGTCGGTTTACATTCGTACGGCGTCGCCGAGACACTCTCGGTGACGCCGCCGGAAACAGTTTCGGACGGTTGGTCGTCTTCACCCTTATTAGCTTGGCCGACACAGACCAGTGAACTTCCGAAGCGATTGTTCGCCTGTGACGGGAACTGTTTTTGATCGAACTGCGTTTAGAACGGAGCGAAAGTTGGCTGGCGAGACCGATGACTTTAGAGGTTTTGCATAGACTATCTGGAGATAGGTCTAGGTTCAATGGGTACTTAAGTGTTCAAGTTAATTTTAGCGTGGAAGTTATGTTTCTTGGGATTCGAACGTTGTTCGCGAGTAGATCGGGGAATTGTACGCACTTACAGTGTATAAAAATGTAAAGTATCTTTGGAATTTATGGTTATTGTATAAGACTTATGGTCCTTATGGACTTACGTGTGTCTGAGTTTTGTCCTTTGGTAGAATGTACTGATAACTGTTTGTTGTTTGCTTTATCAGAAGTCCGAGGAGGCACTGATAACAAACTGAATTATCGGTATCTACAGTCAGCTGGTTAAGCTAGCGGTAGTACTGATAAAACATGAGAATAGCATTCCTAATAGTTACAGAGTTTACCTTCGAATGCTTCAGGTATTCCTTATCGCTGTTCATTGTGGTATCTGTATAGTGTTCTTTAGCTATATAATTTAAATAAACTGTTAATTTTAGGAACACCGTTCATTTAAGGAATATCTGAGCTTATGTGGCGATAATGCTTAAATTAGCTTATGCATTAACTTACTGAAGTATAATATTTCTCTTGAGCAATATTGTTTTTGATTTAAAGATTACTGTTTAACTTCTGGAATATGCTAGTACTGTAACTAAAGAATTCATGAAATATATCGTTGACAGCGGTGACAAATTACATTCACAGATACTATACCCCCTCCGCAGGAATTACCGAAGCTTTTAAGAGGTTTCCATGTGGGAGTAAGGGGTTATAACATAGGGCAAGGTCTAGAAAATTGTTTCGGTGGATGAATCAGGTTTGGTGACACAGGAGATAGGATGACACTGGGTTCGAATGACACAGGAAAAGTTTTAGGTTACCGTGGAAATATTTGCTGGAAGACAAAATGTCTAATTAAACGAGATTGGATTGGTTTGTGCAGACTGTTAACAAAGATATCCGTCATATTGTTAAACCAGCTTTAAAATAAAATACAGGAAAACTGGATAATTAAAATACTAACCAAAAATATTCGAAAATACCAGAATGAATCTGTTATATTACAATCTAATCGGTAGGATACAGGTTATTCGCATGAAATTTTTTAAAATCATAGGAAATATTAATCATTCTTCTAATACCGAGATTCGGTTGTCCAATAGTAAACATGATTAGAACACGAAACGTGAAAACCAAGTTACGCATACATAAGTAATGTGTTCATATATTATACATATACACAAGTAATAGAAAGGAAGTTTGTATCCTTGTAAAGTGAAATGATTTATTGGAGCAGTTTCACGAGGGGAATGTTGCATCCATTCGGCTACCGTTTCGCCTGCAGTTAAAAGCCCGAGTCGGCCGATGCTCAATACGCTCTTAACGTATTCAGAATTTTGCGAATCGCGAAACCACTTCGCAATCGATAGAGTGAACCGCGTAGCATGCAATAAAAACACGGACTATAATTAACAAACTTCCGACTGTAATAAGGAAGTATTGAGTACCGATAGTTGCGCACAAGAGCCGTACAACTAGCGAAATTACGACGAACCCTTTAAAAGATGCAGGAAGGAAATCACAGTGCGCTAGAAATAACAGTTGTCCCAGCGCCCACTTTCTCGGTTGTTATCGCGCCGAATGGTCGCCTCTGTTCACTCAGTAATGCATTCTTTTTCTGGGCTTCTGTGATCTATTTCCTTTTAATTAAATAAAAGAAAACTTCTTGTTCGCCACATAATTATTGCACAATTCCCATTACGCAATACGCGCGATTGAAGCTCGTGAAATCATCCTAATTATTTTTTCTTGACGATTTT